TCATTATTTATAAAGTGCTATAAGTGCACAGCAATGGGGCTTGCCAGATGGCCCTATTATGATAGTCCTGAAGGTCTTTGTGGTGTCATTGAATTGAGTGTGGGACTTGAACCTGGATAACTTTGAGTTCAAATCGTGATGCAGACATGATCAAAAGCTCACCCACAATCTCCTAGCTTCACCTACATCTGTAGTGAAAGGCAAAAAAACAAACAAACAAAATAAAAACAAAACCAGAGAAACCCACACATTTGTTTCCTCTAAACTCTTTTAAGTCAGTGCAGGATGAGATATGTGGTTGGACACCTCGAGGCTAACTGTATATAATAATAGTAATAATAGTAATAATAATAGTAACAGCAGGATTGAAGAAAAACAATTGGAAAAGCTGACACAATACAAGGATTTAAAGATCGAACTGCAAAGACTCTGGCACAAGCCAGTAAAGATGGTCCCAATGGTGATTGGCACACTGGGTGCAGTGCCTTAAGAGCTTGACCTGCACTTAAACACAATCAGCACTGACAAAATTATCATCTGTCAGCTGCAAAAGGCCACTCTACTGGGATCTGCATGCATTATACGCCAATACATCACACAGTCCTAGACACTTGGGAAGTGTCCAACGTGTGATCCAATACAACAGCCAGCAGAGTGGCCTTGTTTGCTATGTACTAATCTTGTTATGTTTCAAATAATAATAACAACAACAATAACAGCCAGCAGAGTGACCTTGTTTGCAGTGTAGTAATCTTTATGTGTTTCAAATAACAATAACTACTACTACTACTACTTTATTGATACCCCGCCACCACCATCTCCCAGAGGACTTGGGGCGGCTTACAAGGCACTCAAAGGTGCAAACACGGCAAATACAAACAGTGCAAAGACAACAACACAAAGCAAAAAGAGCCAAAAAAACCATCATAACCCACCCACCCCCATCACCAATTAAGATCAGTGAAATGTATCAATAGCTGCAGAATATAGAACAACTGCAATTAATATCAGTCTCATAAAGTTCATGGTGAATAACCTCTAGGTCCTTGAATTTCTAAACATGGTCAAAGGCTTATGTACAAAGCCATGTCTTCAGTCGTATGTATAACAGTTTCACTCAATCTGTTTATCCATTTGATAGTTCCTTAAAATGGGATCCAAGTGGGTCCATAAAACATAGTTAAAATGTGATAAGCTTCTATGTTGAAGCACAATAAAATAGAATACACAAAACATGGATGAACAAGAATATAAAATCAATTCTAGCACATACTCAAGTAAAATGATACTAGTAGTGCATTTACACTGTGGAATTAATGCAGCCTGACACTATTTTAAATGCCATAGCTCAACGCTATGGAATCGTGGGAATTGTAGTTTAGTGAGGAACCACCTCTCTTTGGCAGAGAAGCCTAAAGAGCTTGTAAAACTATACGAACAGTCTTTGTCTGCCAGCAGAGGGACATTATGAAAAGTAGGAAAGGGACTCTCCTTTGAAAGGCAGTTCCACTGTGTAGGAACAACCACTGTGAAGAACCTCACACATATCCTGCCTTGAAGTGCCTCTGAAAGTTGTGAGCTCAAGAAAAGGATGGATGCTGCAATGGTTATCCCTAAATGTAGTGTAAAGTAACCATGAAATTCCTAGGGATGAATCAAGTGATCCAGATGTGTAGGGCAGAATGGACAAAAATATAGGAACTGGGGCAATTTTCACCCAATCCCTTCACGTTTCCCCTGTTTTTTTCCTTCTACTTTTCCTCCAAAATGGCAATTGGGATAGTACCATTTTTGAGGTGGAATACAGGGAGGAAATTTGATAGGTGAGACAGAGTTCTGAGGGCAAATGCGATGAGATTGCATGTTTCCACACATTTGTGAACTGTGGGTGTGATTCTGGGTCAATTCTCAGTCCGCAATCTTGTCAAAAATGTATTTTAAAAATTGGGGAGGTTCTTGGTCAATGGGATGCACTTCTCCCACTCTTGGTCTAGAGAGCGATAAGCCCCTTTTCCCCATCCATCACTTCTGTGTGAGATAAATACTTACTTTCAGGGAGCCATTGCTGTCCCTCAGGGGATTTGGTGGTTGGCTGCCTTCTTTTTGGTTCATCACCCCAAATGGGTTTGGAGATGGAAGGAGCTCCGAAACAGCTGCTGCTTTTTTCTTGCAGATAATGTTATTGGCAGGAGGAGTAAATGAATGGATGAGGGAGTGAGACAAAGTGTATTAGTATAAAATAGAACAGACTGAAATGAATAGAACAGAATAGAAATAGAACAGACAGTGTTGTCAAAGGCTTTCATGGCTGGAATCACTGGTTTGCTGTGAGTTTTCTGGGCTATATGGCCATACTCCAGAAGCATTCTCTCCTGATGTTTCACCCACATCTATGGCAGGCATCCTTAGAGGTTATGAAGTCTTTCAGAGCTCACCACCTCTGAGGATGCCTGCCATAGATGTGGACAAAACGCCAGGAGAGAATGCTTCTGGAACATGGCCATACAGCCCGGAAAGCTCACAGCAACCCAGGAATGAGGCAGTTTTCTATTTAGCTCACAAATAAGTATTACGCTGCCTGCCTACAGTTGCATATAAAGATATCTCTTTTTGACAAGACTGCACATCTGGATGACCAGAATATGGAAAAGACTATCAGGGAGCCCCCAGTGGCGCAGGGGGTTAAACCGCTGAGCTGCTAAGCTTGTTGACCTAAAGGTCTCAGGTTCGAATCTGTGGAGTGGCATGAGCTTCTGCTGTCAGCCCTAGCTTCTGCCAACCTAGCAGTTCGAAAACATGCAAATGTGAGTAGATCAATAGGTACCGCTCTGGCGGGAAGGTAATGGCGCTCCATGCAGTCATGCCGGCCACATGATCTTGGAGGTGTCTATAGACAACGCTGGCTTTTCGGCTTAGAAATGGAGATGAGCACCAACACCCAGAGTCAGACACGGCTGGAATTAATGTCAGGGGACAACCTTTTCCTTTACCTTATCAGGACTATAGTTCCTAGATTGCCCTAGCCAGCATGGTGACTAGCCCTTATAGTCCAAAAAGTAAAATTTCCAGGCTCTGCATACAGGACACTCAGCTGCCATTGGTTCCTGGGAGAAAGATAAGTAAATAAAAGTAAGTTTACCTGGGCCCATCTTCACTGACAATTTAATGCAGTTTGACATTTGAAGCTGCTGTACCTTCAAATTGTGGTGGCTAGACAACAGACTCCCAAAAAAGTGTGTAAAAGAAATTCCTTAATGCACATCAGTGTTCTGTGGTTTGCGTAATCACCATCTGGGCCTCAAACTGGTTCCAGGATTTCCTTATCATCTGCACAGTGAAACAATTTTCTTCAGTACTGGTTTGACGCTGTCTTAAGTGGTCAGTGTAGATGTGCCCCAGGAGTTGTCAAGTTTCAAAACCTTGACAACCATTAACAGAACTCTATTGTTTTTATGAGCTGACCTTGTGGCACTCACTTTGCTGTCAGTACAATTCCCAAAACTCACCCTCCAAATAGAGCACCTCTATGTGCTCTCTGAACTCCTTGAAAAGGATTTGCATGGCCTTTGAAAAGTTGTGTGAGTTGCACTGCCCTCTCTCTCCTCCCCCTGCTTTCCGGAAAGCCCTCTGCTATGTAACTCTGTGCTGCAAACAATGGCAGTACAAATTGCTTTGACAGAGTCAGCAAAGTTGACAGGACAGTGTGGGCTTTTCTGCTTGGCCCTAATTCCAGAAGCCAGGATGGGTGGCACAAAAGAGGGGGGGGGGGGAGAACACGCTGCTACCCTTTACAAGCAGAGTCAGCCACTTGCACGTGCATGTGTTGTGGCAACTGAACCCCGTGAAAGGCCCTGCACAGGTGTGCAGAAGCAGTTCATTAAGCCAGGCAAGAAGCAGGGAACTCAGAGGCGGCTGCTTCGTCCAGGCTATTGTTCAGCACTCCTGACAGCTGAGAGCAACCCCTTCGCTTGCCACAATAGCGGCTCATGCTGAGCAAGGCTCATTAAATATTCAGTCCCATCCTCAAGCAGCTCATTAAGGCAGCAATGAGCCAGTGACGCTGCCTTGCCTCCGCCACCGCTGCTCTTGGAAAACCCTGCCTTTGCTTAGCATCACCATGCAGAGGCTCATTGGATCCCTGGATGCTCTTCTCCTCAGTGCCTTCTCTGTGATGACCAGCTTGTGCTCCCTGCTTTGCATTAAGTACAGGTAAAAGGAAACAGACCCAGATCAAATTCAAAAGTGCTAAGGAGGGAGATAAAAATCCTGGATGTGGATGTTCAGGAAACACTGGTTTTGATTTGTGTTCTGACCTGCCTGGAATCCCTTTTTGGGATGGGAGTGGGCTGAGTTGACATCTCCACAGGCATTTGCTTAGCAGCATCTGTGATTCTGCTGGTTTTGCAGCGGGAGGAGGAGTCTGGGCAAGGCATGGCAAAGCAGCAAGGAGTTTAATGAGGCAAAGTTGTTCCTTGTTGAGGCTGTAACTTCAGTGGGCCAGCTGTTTGTATTCTCTGGATGCAGGCCATTCTTCAGCCCAGTGTTATGAAATGCACTTCTACTTAAGATGGAACATCGTGTTGTTTTAATTGTCTCTTGAGTAAAGGCTGTTGTGCTCCGGTAGAAATAATTGACACTGACATTTTACTTTGCAAGCGTGCACTAGAGTAGTCTCAAGTTTCAGCTGCCAAACTTCCTGAACAATTGTATGTTTAAGAACTGTGTGTTTAAGGACAGATAAAAACTGCCTGTAACAGTATGTTTTATAACAGATAAGAAACAACTCCAAATGAGTTGTTTGCTTTGTGGTGCAAGATCTCAGTACATTTCAGTATCCAGTTGAGGGTCACAGGCATCACAAAGGTACAAATATAATTTCATATGTGGTTGTGAGTGGAGAGGGGAGAAAGTACACAATCTTCCTTGCCAGATATGCTCAGCATGGACAACTTTATCACAGAAGTCTGAAAGAACTGATGACATTTCTGTTCCATTCACAGAAAATGTTTCCAGACAGCTCACTTCTACGTGGAAGACAGCAGTTCACCTCGAGTGGTGCCAAACGAAACCATTCCCATTATTCCCATTCCAGGTAAGGAAGGCCCAACCACTTGACTTAATTGATTTGGAGGCAACTGTCTGAATTCATGTAGCTAATCATAATTTGTATTATATGGTCTTTTTATGCTTTCAAATATGCTATGTTTTACAGTAATACTTGTCTTTCCTTCTAAAATGGTATGTTGGTGTTGGTTTGGCAAGAGAGAGAGACCATGTTATTTGTGTCTGGATGAGATGGCTGATGGCCTTCATGGAGAAAAACTATTTAATCTTTAAGGTGCCACAAATACTCTGTTGCAGTTTACTAACATGACTATCCCATTCAAGTTTTCACTTGGTTTATATGTTTCATCTTTCCAAAGTGTCATTGCTTCACCACTAATGGTCCATGCCACTCCTTATTCTCAACAACTCAAAAACCAGATCTTCACCAGCCTGTAAATGTAAATGTTAGGCACAATCCTATTAATGTACTCTGAAGTCCTATTAAATTTTGTGGTACTGTTCATTCAGTTCCAGACAGTTGTGCATAGAACTGGGGCACTCTGGTTGCAAAAATAATAGAATTAAAGTGTGGGTTTCTGCTTATCATCCTGTGGCCTGTCTAGAAAAGGTTTGTTCTCTTCTCTCTCCCCCTCCCTCCTCTCCCCCCTATATATATATTACTTCTTCTATAGCTGAATCGTAACAAACCATTACCAGTGGGATCATGGTGTAAGTAGGTGTGCTGATTTGGTATAAGCAAGTGTGGTAAGTAGCGCCATCACTTTTTGATGTAATTGTTAAGTAGACGTACTGTGGAAGAGTAAAACCCATTGAACTTTGTGGGATTTATTTCTGAATAAACAGAAGTAAGTTTAACCATCTTAAAGGCACCATATCTTCCATCTATGATCATGGAAACAAAACAGGGTCATTCCTGGCTAGTACTTGGATGCAACACTAGGTGCTATAAGTTATATTTCAGAGGAAGGAAATTGTAAAACCATGCCTGAATATTCATTGCCTGAGAAAATCCTATGAAATTCATAGGGTTATTAGTTGACAGGCAACCTGAAGGCACGTACACACATTCAAAAATGCTAAGAGTCTCAATTGGAGTAGATTTGGTTTGGTTTTAGAAACTACAATTATCAGAGCTATGCATTATCTGTCCTTTGTTTGTGCCTTCAAACCATTTCTAATGTATGATGACCTTAAGCCTGTCACAGGGTTTTCTTCGAAATATTTGTTCATAAGCAGGTTTGCCATTGTCTTCTTCTGAAGCTGAGTGAGTGTGACTTCCCTAAGGTCATCCAGTGGGTTTCAATGGCTGAGCGGGAATCTGAACCCTAGTGTCAAGAGCTATAATGAAATGTTCAAACCACTACTCCATGCTGGCTCTCTCATAATCTGCCATACAATTGTCAATATTGTTCTCCCCAGGAGAACTCTAGCCTACATCGAACTGCTTTCAACAGTAAATGTGAAAAATTGAGCATTCTGCCCTGCAAAAGTTCTCAACCTTTGACCCTCCAGAGTTTTGTATTTCAGTTCCCAGAAATCTCAGCTAATATGACTGATAGGCTGGGATTTGGGGGAGCTGATTTTCAAAATAAGTAGAACCCCAAAGGCTGAGAGGATTGCTTTTTACTCCTGGCAATATCTCAAGACCTCTTAGGAAGGAAGCCTATAAAGGCTATCACAATGTAATTATATTTCTTTCATTTTATTTATTTATTGCATTTATATGCCACTTTTCTCACCCCTGGGGGACTCAAAGTGGTTCACAGCATAATCAATGGCAAAATTCAATGGCAATGACATTTAATTTCTTTGTGCAAACCAGGTAGAAACCTGATTTGAGGACTGAGTGGGATCTTTCATAGATACATGGAAACATGGGAAGTTGTCTTCCGCTGTTTGAGGCTACTGATCAATCAGTGTTGCTCAATATTGTCTTCAATGGCCAGCAACTGCTCTCCAAGTGTCAGGCAGGAGGCTTTTACAGATAGTCTCCTCTGAAATCTTTGAGAAGACTTTGTAAATCTGTGATGATGTTAAGATTAAACCTTGGATGTCTGGCATGCAAAACTCTTGCTCTCCTGCTAAAACAATGCTGTTGTTTACTTTTGTTTTCTTTCTGACTCTGTTTTAAGCTTAACAAGTATAACCACTCTGAGTTTATGTGTAAGACATGAGTCCAAGTAAAATATGGTATTACAAGACTGTGTAAAATAAAAGGAGACAACTTTAGGCTTCTTTTGTATGGTCTAAAGAACCATGACTCTCTCAGTTGTTCTCCCTGATAATCATGTGATGACATTTATGAAGTGATTTTTTTCTACATATAGACAGGGAAAGTCCCTTGAAATGTGTTAAATATCTCTTTTCCAGGAATGGTTCTATTAGCTCTATTCCTAATTGAAGTTCAGTCTGCCTTATAGGATTGTCTGCAGAAAAAGTCTACCAATAAACTGTTCTGACACAGCTTTCCTTAACAAGCACTATCCAATTAGCACCATCGTGTCAGAGTTCCCTATAACTGGGGAGTCCTAGCCTAGTGCATTTGGGATGACTCAGATTGAGGAAGGCTGCCATACCATTTGTGACACCTGGGCTGGATCTACACTGCTATGTAATGCAGTTTCAGAATGCAGTTTTAACTGCATTGAACTGGATTATATGGCAGTGTAGACTCATATCCTCCAGTTCACTGCAGTTAAACTGCATTATTTGGCAGTGTAGATGCAGCTTGGGATGTAGATGCAGCACAGTCAAGAACTTCCTGACTGTGAGAGCCGTTCAGCAGTGGAACTCACTGCCCCGGAGTGTGGTGGAGGCTCCTTCTTTAGAAGCTTTTAAACAGAGGCTGGATGGCCATCTGTCAGGGGTGATTTGAATGCAATATTCCTGCTTCTTGGCAGGGGGTTGGACTGGATGGCCCATGAGGTCTCTTTCAACTCTTTGATTCTATGATTCTATGTGTGTAACAGTGTTTGTCTACATCAGAAAGGGAAAACTATAGCTTTCCAACTTCAACTTCCATAGTCCCTAGCCACCATAGAAAATTGTGGGTTGTGATGAGAGTTGTAGTTCAGCAGGTAAAGTGTATGTTTCCTCTTTCCCATTCTTTTCTCCCTAATCTTGCCTCTCCTTCCCTGGTGTTGTTGTCATTTATATTGATTTCTTAGAATGGGAAGGGACCACAAGGGCCATCTAGTCTTGAGTCTCTTTGTTGTTGTTCATTCGTTCAGTCGTCTCCGACTCTTCGTGACCTCATGGACCAGCCCACGCCAGAGCTCCCTGTCGGCCGTTACCACCCCCAGCTCCCTCAAGGTCAGTCCAGTCACTTCAAGGATGCCATCCATCCATCTTGCCCTTGGTCGGCCCCTCTTCCTTTTGCCTTCCACTTTCCCCAGCATAATTGTCTTCTCTAGGCTTTCCTGTCTCCTCATGATGTGGCCAAAGTACTTCAACTTTGTCTCTAGTGTCTTTCCCTCCAGTGAGCAGTCGGGCTTTATTTCCTGGAGGATGGACTGGTTGGATCTTCTCGCAGTCCAAGGCACTCTCAGCACATTCCTCCAACACCACAGCTCAAAAGCATCGACTTGAGTCTCTAGTTGTACAGAAATGCACAACTAAAGCAATCCTGAAGGATGCCCAACCAACCTCTGTTTAAAGACCTCCGGAAATAGAGTCTACCATCCTCTGAGGCAATATGTTCTACTTCTGAGCGACTTTTATAGTATACTTTTTTCTGATGTTTGGATGGAATCTCTTTTCTTGTAATTTGAATCCATTGCTTTCCATTTTAGTTTCTAGAGCAGCAGAAAACTAGTTTGCTCCATCTTCTTCATGATACCCCTTCAGATATTTAAGGATAGTTGCCATGTTTAGTTTTGTCCAAACTAAACATAACCAGCTCCCTAAATTGTTTCTCTTAATGCTTGGTTTCCAGACCTTTGTTCTTCTTGGTTGTTTTCTCTTGGAGAAGAAGGACTCTAGCATTACCTTTTGGCCTAAATTATTTATTTTAGTTTGGGTTTTGATAGATTTGAGTCCACTTCTTCAGATGTACTGAGTGGTATGGAAATGTTAAAATGCAGGACTGATGCTTGTAAATGAATCAAAGAATGAATGAATGAATGACAAGATAGCTCCTTAAAACTGGAAGTTCAGAAATGTGCATATAAATATATAGATATCAATAGAGTAATGAGCATGTGCCTGCACACAACCTTATCTTGACCTAATAGAATAGCCCTGACTTCTGCCTGGAGCCTTTTGCAGGCTTCCCCACCAGACCTGAAATAACTTCAAATCCCATTCCCCTGAGCAATTTGCTGAGTGCTCTTCGCACCTGCCTGCCCGTCAGTTTTAACTCCTATATGGCCGTTTTGCTGCAAAGCCCTTTTAAAGGTTAAATGGGGAAAAAATCTTTTCTTTGATTCTCATACCATGTTGATAAAACGATGCCTCTTTTGAACTTTGGAGATAGCCAGGAAGCGTGAGGAAATCATCTACTCTTTATTGAATCCGGAAGTAAAGTCTAAATGACATTTTAAAATATGCTAGTTCCTTAAAGTAACCTTATTAGCTGGTGATACCCTAGGCAGTAATTTTAAATGGATAGTTAAATGTGTCCCTATGGAGCTGTACATCTATTTCATTGAACAGAGTGAACCTAATTTTGTTCAGTTGTACAGCCACAGTGGGGACAATTTGAGCCCGTTTACCTAAAAGTGTGAAATACTTTTGAATTTATCTTTAAAAATAAATAAAAACCAGCTCAGTGGGAGCTTTCCAAAATCATTGGAAGCTCCAGAATGCTTGACAATATAATAGAATTTCAGTAGGCCACAAATGCAAAATTATCTAATAACCTAGCTGCTTTACTTTCAATGTACTATTTCATTGTTGGGCATGAAACTAAATAACCTATAGGCATGCACTAATCTATGCACATTCTGTTCTGGAGCTCAGACTCCTAATTACAATTCATAACTATCTCTACTTTGCAATCTAAAGAAACAAGGGGGCACAGACAGG